GAATTGTTGCGGACCGCTTGACGTTTTGGGCTAGTGCTCAGAAACTCTTTACGAACATGGAATCATTATTGGTGGTGGTCTGAGACCATCAACTCTCCAGGCTTGAACCCGGTTCACTCACGGGCGCGAGTATGTGGGTGTGAGTGGTGGATGGTTGGGTGAGTTGTTGTGGCCTATAGTGTGGTGGTAGAATACCGCATGATGGATGAAACGACTCGGTCAACGTCCGTACGGACCGAGTCCTCAACACGGGAGGAGGAACCAGCGGAGTGAAGTTCACGTGAACGGTGACCACGGCAGTAGTAGCGACAGAAGAGTGACAGGGAGGCGACTGAGTAGCGGTGAGGCTGGGTGAGCATTCACCCCGCCTGCTGCTGCTCCACTTGGAGTGCAGCAGCAGCGGTGAGTGGTGGTGGTGGTTGTTGTTGCTGGGAGTTGGAGAACGCGGCTCTGGCGCGGTCGTGGTGGCTGCTCTCAGAGTTTGCAGAAAAAATAAACTTTAAATCCTTTAATTTTAGATATGAAGCTTTCGTGATTGCAATCCTTTGACCTCAATTCCGCGTCGCGTTTCCAACGAAGGAATGTTCCCCACTGCTCCCCTCGCGTATCCTTCTTGTGTATCTCCCCTCGTCTCTCTGCCTTCGTGTCTCCTCGCGTCTCTCTCCTTTACACATCGCCACCCGTCTCTCCCCTCACGTCTCTCTCCTCGCCGTGTGACCAGAGCTGCATTTGTCTCTGCGCGATTAATGATTCGGCTCGTGGATCAGTCTTGGATCCGTTCAGCAAGTCTTGTTGTGTATTTGTGTTGTTGTTGTGTGGTGTCATCTCTTTTGTAATTGCTCTCTCGTTTGTGTCGTCCGTTCTGCCTGTCTTGTTGATATTCATTTTCTGGTTTGTCCCATTACACTCAAGGTACTATTATTATTTGATGGTCGTGGTGATTGTGATGGCGGTGGTGGCGCTACTGCTAGCGATCTTGATCACCATCACCACCATTATCACCGCGCCGCAAGTCATTTGCGCCCCCCCCCCCCACCTATTGCAAACCCCACGCGGCACTCGCCCCCCCCCCCCCGCCACGAGGTGCTGGCAAGCCAGTCCACGGCAGGATCTCTGTTTCTCGTCTCAGGACACCTCGGGGATATCGCGGTGGGAGGGAGGGAGGGGGTGGGGGTGTTTCACATTCTGTGGGTGACCCTCCACCCAGACTCCCCCGCTCGGTGTTCAGGGCCTCGTCCTGCCACCTGAGCGGGCCCCTCCGCGGGGTTTCGTGAGATCCAAGGCGTCCTTTACGAGTCTCCAGCGCGAAGCAAATATCACGAACGAAGCGATGTCCACGGGGTTCCGTGAAGCGTCGATCCCCGAGCAGACCTGGCTCTGTTGAAGAGACCGGGAGAACAACGTCTGCTTGGATTGAGCCATTGCCACTCCCAGATGGCCAGCGTGTCCCATGATGGGATGGGTAAAACATGTTTTGACTTTGTATGTGGACGGACGGACGTATGAAGGAGGCGAATCGCCTTCTTGTTGCATAGACATTGGGGGAGTTGTTATTCGGTAACGCTTTTCAGAATCGATTTATTGGACCCGAAAAATCACGAACCGCCCAATCGACTCCGATGGAATGTGAGTGCGGATGCCATGCTTGGCCTCGCACGAACGAACCTAAGTACAAACGGCACGGCGGCAGGCCGAAGGGTAAATGATGCAGGGAAGATGGCATCGATCAGGCGATCTCTGGATTGCAGGTCCGTGCCACGTCTCTTGCTCGGGATATTTGTGCGCGTGCGGCAAAGCGGTGAACGACATGTCACGCTGGTCACGCGGGTCTCGACATGCGGGTGGCGTGGGGTCCGTGGTGGCGGTGGTGCAGCCGTTCGCGCGCTGCACTACGGACCCGGCGACCGGAGTTTGATACCCCTCACGGCCAACACCGATGACGATTATCTGTACCAGTCATGGGCCTCCGCTAGGTCGACTCGGCCTCAAATGAGTACCTGGTGCGGTGTGTAAATATCGCCACTGGGGAGACAAAGGCGGCCGGGCGTGATGTTGGCCACCCACTTTGTGCCGGCCGTGGCAGGTGCTACTCGCTAACAACACATGCCACAACAGTCTGTTGAGGCTACACGGGAGAGCTTTGCCTTTGTGGTGGCCTCCACGGTGACCTCTGCCCATCTGTTTATGGATTCACACTTCACGTTTTCTCGATTGAATCGCCGGGCAGGTCGCAGCCTGCGGGGACTCGCGGTGCGGGCAGCGGCCACCGTCCACTCGGCCGTCTCCCGTGGCGGCGGCGGCGGCGGCACACGGAGCGGGCACCCGAGAAGGTCGGGTTGGGTGGCAGCCTCCTGCCACGGCTGCCGTCGTCCGTGCCAGCCGCGTCTGTGCCCTCGGGGCTCGGGGAGAAGCGAGAGACACGCGGGGGCTGCCCGCCGCTCGGCCTCGCGTTGCCTCACCAAAATCCCGCGGCGCTTTCGTCGCCGCCACGCGTCAGGGAGAGTGGCTCGCGGGTGAAAGCTTCAAACTAAACCTGGACATTTTTTTTTGAGAAGCGACGCGGCCACCACAAATGAAAGCTCAACGAAGTAGCTTCTTGCGTGGACATTTATAGCAGCCACATAGCTCTAAACTCGTGATGTTCATTCTAAATGTGAAGGGAAAACCCGGTGGACCCTGATGAAAATCCGCGCGACCACGGGGAGAGAGAGAAACACAAAGTCCAATTATACAGCAGCAGGCGTCAGTGTCGGGATCGAACCCACGACCTCCTGTATATCAGGCGAGATCGTTAACATCTCCTAGCCACCGTGGAAACATAGGTTGCGAGGTCGACTTCTGGGTGGGGGTTGTGTTCCGGATATACTCATCCGTATCACAGCAATGTGGAATTTCCACCATTGGCTTGGGGCTGTAAACAGGAGATCAGCACTCCCACTACCTCGGGCTTAATTTGAGCTGTCAGCCGGGCACAATACAAACAAGTAAATAATACAAACAAGGTTTCGTATTTGCTGAGGTCAATTCAATTTAAAAGGAACATGGTAATTAATTAATTAAAGTGTGTGTGTACGTGTAGTGACATCCCAGATGTCACTGTGTGGTGCCGGCCCTAGAAAGGCACGGCGTGCGATGTACTCACATCGCTGACATCACCTATGTAGCAGGGACGTGCGGTCAGGTGAGGCAGAGGAGGCAGAGCCTCACCTGTCATACTCCAATGAAAATAGCTGTTACGAAAAGTAGAAAAAAAAGAATAATCAAATAAAATAAATATTAAGATTTTCCACTGATCTGTGTTATAAATGTCATTTCTGTACGATTCCAATAATTTTTATAGTCAAAATCGCCGAATTTGTGGAGCTCCGCTGCAAATACATGAAGAGACGAGAGGTGAGGCAGCGACGAGCTCAGCCTCCCCTCTGATTGCGCAACCCCTCAGTAACTGGATGGAGCGCGGGCAATAAGCGCGTGCCTGTTACTATCTCAGTATGTTTCCAAAGTAATATTTGTAGACCCCTTCATTTAATGTCCTCGCCTTCCATATTCCAGGTAACTTATTTCACGTATGTGTATAAAGATATTTAGGCTCGCTGGTCTTGTCATGAAACTGCAATAAAAAAGCACCAGGGGAGGCAGCTATCACATCTGCCTCACTGAGGGGGACGTGTCTAACACGCCCCCCTCAGTGAGGCCACGCCCCCTTAGTGTGTGAATCTGGCTCTGACACGAGCCAGTGCCTCCCCAGCCATTGACCTCACCGCACGTCACTGGTATGTAGTGACATCATGAATGTCACTGAATAATACCGGCTCTAGCGAGGAACGGCGTGCGATGCATTGTCATCGCAGACACCCCGTGGGTGGGTGCAGTACCAGCCCTAGAGGGGGCTCGGTGTGCGCTGGGATAGCACTCAGTGGCACCACACGTGGCGGGAGTGTGAGAGTGTCAGCCATGGGATGAGGTTACCCTGGGCCATGGCACTCTGGTTGACCCTGGAAGGCACGTGACTAGTAATATCTACACAAGGGCCCCCGGCGGGGGCTAGGGGGTGGTCACGTGTCAGGGTGAGATCCTACGGGAAGGGTCGAGAAACTCCATGAGGTTTCTCGAAGGTGGTTGTGGCCAAGGGCGGGGCCAGCCACGTCCCAGGAGCATATAAACCGGGTCCCCACAGGGACTGGGGCGCTGCGTTGCTGTTGTCATCTGAAGATCTATCTACATTCTATGTCCAAGAGAAGAGAATAAGTCACCAACACGTGTACAAGGACCCAAGTCAGGGTCCTGTCCGTTGTAGCTACTCCCAGTAACTAGCGTAGTTAGCCTGGTGGTCCACCACCATAGGTTATCTGGTAAAGGGGCAGTAACCCCTTTGTGTTAATATGTTGGTGTAAATAAATGTGTTGCCTCCAAGAAGTACGTCTGCGACTCAGTTGAATCCATACCAAAGAATATGGATCCACTACACTTGTATACGGGTGAGTAGTGTACACGCGTATTTGCTCTGTATGTGGGTGTCTTTGTACACGTGTTGGTACGTTACAACGAATAATACAACTTTTTTTTATTGACCAGGTAAAGGACCACTGAGCTACGATACAACTCTTATTCAGAAGCGACCTGGCTATCACAAATGATAGCTCAACGAAGTGGCCTATCACTACATAGACATTTATAGCAGCCAAACACTCTACGTGTAAGAATAGGTTTGACCCTTTCTGGTAATAAAAGAGGCGTTAAGAGGTTAAAACACCAAACAGAAATACTCGACGTGTTTGCTACGTTTGTCACTTGACACCTGGAACACTCTGCACACGAGACGCCTCTACCTCAGGGATCTTCCAGCAGAGACATTCTACTAAGATGCGTCTTTCAGGTGGTGCAGTAAAGACGAGCGCAACGCATCTGGGGTGCCCACCACCGCCACATGCGTCCCGCCGATCCGGCCTTAAGGCAGCGCTCGCTTAACGCCCCGTACCCTCGTCTGCGCTCCCTTGCAGACGAACCGCACTGGAGACATCGGGAACGACGCGTACCGACCGGGTGACGGGACCGACCTGCAGAGACGCAGCACCCTCAGCCCCGATGGTGAGCCCCCCCCCCCCCCTCCACCGCTCTGACCCCCCGCCGGCATGGCAGAGCGACGCTCGGCCGGCACGAACCACAATCGCGCCGCCGCCGCGTCTCAAACTCGGGCCGCATAATTTCAACCTGAACCCCCCACCTCTCGACACCCCCCCCCCCTCCACCTGTGGTGCCGTGCAGGCTGCAGGAAACCCCCAGAGAGGTTTTCCCTCGCCAGGAAAGCCCCGGAGAGATGCAGCGAGGCCGCTCACCCGGCCATCGCGGGGCCTAGACGCGACGATGGACCACTGACTGCCGTGGTCTCAACAGCCGGCACCGGTGGCATTAACGGTGGTAGTGCTGCCAGTAGCATCATCAAAGTTCCCAGTAGCACTACCAGTAGCACCAACATCACCAGCAAAGTTCCTGGTAGCGCTTCCAGTAGCACCAGCAGCACCAGCATAGTTCCCAGTTGTGCTGCCAGTAGCACCAGCAGCACCAGCAAGGGTCTCACTAGTGCTGCAAGTGCTACTACCAGCAGAACCAGCAAAATTCCCAATAGCACTGCCAGTAGCACCAGCAGCACCGGCAAAGTTCCCAATAGCGCTACCAGTAGCACCAGCAGCACCAGCAGCACCAGCAAAGTTCCCGGTAGCACTTCCAGTAGCACCAGCAAAATTCCCAATAGCACTGCCAGTAGCACCAGCAGCACCGGCAAAGTTCCAAGTAGCGCTTCTAGTAGCACCAGCAACACCAGCAAAGTTCCCAATAGTACTGCCATTACTACTAATAGCACCAGCAGCACCAGCAAAGTTCCCAATAGCGCTGCCAGTAGCGCCAGCAGCACCAGCAAGGTTCTCAGTAGCGCTGCCAGTACTACTGCCAGTACTACTGCCAGCACCAGCAAAGTTCCTAATAGCGCTGCCAATAGTGCCAGCAGCACCAGCAAAGTTCCCAATAGTACTGCCATTACTACTAACAGCACCAGCAAAGTTCCTAATAGCGCTGCCAGTAGCGCCAGCAGCACCAGCAAGATTCTCAGTAGCGCTGCCAGTACTACTGCCAGTACTACTGCCAGCACCAGCAAAGTTCCCAATAGCGCTGCAAGTAGCACCAACGGCACCAGCAAAGTTCCCAATAGCACTGCCCTTAGCGCCAGCAGCACCAGAAAAGTTCCCAGTAGCGCTACCAGTAGCACCAGTAGCACCAGCAATGGTCTCACTAGTGCTGCCAGTACTACTACCAGCACCAGCAGCACCAGAAAAGTTCCCAGTAGCGCTGGCAGTAGCACCAGCAGCACCAGCAACGTTCTTAGTAGCACTGCCAGCAGTACCAGCAAAGTTATCAGTAGTGCTGCCAATAGTTCTACCAGCATCAGCAGTAGTAGCAGGATCAGCAGCGGCAGGATTGAGGAGGTGGTGTTGGCAGAAGGCAGCTTTAATGTATCCGAGGCTTCTTTGTGGAAGCCTGCTCCTGCACAAGGCATGGGGAGGAAAACGACGGACAAAAGTGTCACCATGGAGCGAGGGCAGGTGAGTGGTCGACACACTGCCAATATAACCACTCGGCCTGCCAATAATCCTGTAGGGGCTGCATGCGGCAATGCACCACCACACGTACGTTTCTCAAGAGCCCTCTTCTGAATATTCTCTCGAATTAGTCTTTTCTTTGAGGCCTTCGCTCGTCTTGCACTGCAAGAGGACCCCTTGACTAGACTGAGATGAGTGAGCCGAGATACAGGATGCTCAGAGTCGCTGCAGTGGGGTGCTCGTGTGACTTTATTCTGCAGGATGAAGAGTCGACAGCAGGGGAGGAAGAGACCGGGAGGAAAGGAAGCAGTGATGAGGAGAAGAAGGAGGAGGAGGCGGGACAGAGAAGACAAGCAAAGAGCGTGTCTGGTGAGGCAGTGTCAGAAGACATGGGGAAGAGAGGCAGCAATGGTGACGACGATGGTGGTGGTTGTGACAATAGTGGTTGGGTAAAGCATGACCAGGAGATGGGAGTGACCATTGCTAGCTCGGAGAGTGAGGAGCAAGAGGAGGGGGAAGAAGAGGAGGTGGATGAAGATGTAGTGACAGAAGAGGAGGACGATGGTGAAGAGGCGGTGACAGAAGAAGATGATGAGGAAGAGGCAGTGACTGAAGAGGAGGATGAGGAGGGAGAAGGGTCTGTGGATGAGGAGTCTGGGACAGAGAAAGGCGACGACTCTGACGATGAGCGTGAGAATTCCTCCAGTGACAGCGCCAGGGTGGATGCCTCATCTGACAGCGCCAGGCCGGAGGGGGTAACCGTGACAGCTGTGGTTGCTCGGAAGGGTAATGTCGCCAAGGCAAGCGAGGCATGTGGCGTAACTTTGGAAACAAAGGTCATCAAGGTGATAGAGGTAACTGAGGCAACTGAGGTTATCGTGAAAACTGAGGCGAAGGATAATGCAGCTCTGGTCTCCAAGGTAACTAAGCAAATAGCCGTCAATGTGGCAGTGAAGGTAACTAAAGTGAAAAAAGGCGAGGTGACCCATGTTCTAGAAGTAAATAAGGTAACCAAGGCACCGGGCGTAACCATGGCTAAGCTGGTGACCGAGGTTGCTGAAGCAAAGATAATGCCAGAAGTAACCGAGGAAACGGAGGTGACAGAGGTAACCAAGGTAACTAGGTCATCGGAGGATGGCAAGACGGCCGAGGAGAGCAATGCGGAGATGGATGTAAACACGGAAACTGAAGAAATTGGGGTTGCCGTGGCAGCTGAAGATGAAGAGGGTGCTGGAGGAGAGAGCGCTTTGAACGAAGAGGACATGGAGGAGGAGAGTGGAGGAGAGATCCAGGGATCTGCCAGCAAGAAACACGGTGCCGTGGGGGGGAGGGAGGTGGAGGCGAAGAAAGCGAGGGTGGAGAAGGAGGAGGAGGGAGCAGAGGGACCGGCAGGGGGTGAAGAGGAGGATGAGGAGGAGGTTCCAGCAGAGCCGCCTGTACCAGCCATCATCGGTAAGTTTGTGATGTCCTCTTTGCGGTGAGTGGTTACGGTAATTGATGTGAACATTATTCACAATAGATGTTTGGGTTTGGCTACTTAATGATTTGCCAAAATTGGTGTCATGAGACAGTCCACCACCTGACACAACCAAAATAATTAAATAGCCAAGCGGTGTACAGGTGTTTAACAAGGTGCCAATCGATGTTGTTTTACCTCACGGTTAGGATTCTCACAGCGAGATTCAGCAGCGGTCATATTGGCGACGTTTTGCTTGAAACAGCACCAAGCATCATCAGGACGAGATGCAGGAAGTCGGAATCACAATCCACGAAGTTAGTTTGGCTGTGTCGGGGGGTGGAGGAGGGTCTTATGACACAAACGTGGCCAGGTCGACGTGTGGCCGAACCTGAGATTCAATGACGAATAATATTACCCCCGAGTTCCTGCGCGTGAAATCGAATAGCAGTGGTGAAAATAGCCATGTGAATCGGGCAGCTCGTAAAATGGCCGTGTCAGCAATGCCCATGGAACCAGCGTCGATGAGTTTCCCAGGTTCTGCATCCAGGCTATAGATGCCCGGAATCAAACCGGGTTCTCCACTGGTAGCGAGTTGGTTTCGTTCCGGTCACCGGTTACTTCACGACGCTCAGTGGGGGTATTGGGGTTCAATCTGAAGGGATTTCAAAACTAGTTCCGGAGCATCATACTGTGGGCCCATTCATTGACACCTGCTGTTGCACTGTTTGCTGTGAGAGTTTTGAATAAAAAAAAATTCCATTTGGACAGTCTTGGAACGAGTATCTGTGTTCACGTGACAGGGATTGATTTGTGCCGATATCTGATACCTATTCTGCATTACACTGTACAGGTTTTACAGACCTAGGCTGACTGAGAATATGACCAGGTTTGCTCTGTGGGAAAGGTGAAGACCATTGATTGAAAGATAATTGCTAAATATTCTAAGGTTCATATCATTGGCTGATTTGCCAACATGTTGTGACTTCCACAGAAGACTCTCCACCCCCCCCTGCTCCCTTCGATCACCGCATCGTGTCTCCCCGTTCCATCACCGTGGGAACCTACTTCTCCCTCAGCCACTCGGACGTCCTGGGAGGGTGAGTTGGCTTCTTTATTTGACGAGATAATATTATCTAGCTTATTCCTAACTCCATTCCTCACAATGCACCAAAGCGGTTTCCTGCACAAATGAGCATTGTAATGGCGCTGATCTCTCATTTACAGCTCTGAGCCAGTGGTGGAAATCCACATTCCTACGGCGAGGGCGGGTCTATCCATAGAACTACTGCCGTGTGTGTGCGCAGAGGCCGCTTTGGCCGGGTGATGAGGTGCCAGGAGAAGTCGTCGGGACTGACGCTGGCAGCCAAGGTCATCCGCGTGAAAAGCCCCAAGGAGAAGGTACCACTCGCAGCCTCGCGGGGAACGTGAACCACGCCCATCCTCGCGCTCGCCGCCCGACCGTTGGGGCGAGTGCTGTGAGCGAGAACCCGTTATCGCACCGCGCACGCTCACACGTGGATTTGATGTTGCACCTCCAATCAGTACAGCCGTCTGCTTGCGGAGCAAAATAAGTTCAACATACATACACATTGTCTCCGCGTGTTTCCGCAGGAGGAGGTAAAGAATGAGATCAACATCATGAACCAACTGAACCACGTCAACCTCGTGCAGCTCTTCGATGCCTACGAGTCTCGCTCGGACATCACCCTCATCATGGAGTAGTGAGTACCAGGAGTGAACTGAACTTCCGAGCCATTCTGGGTGACACTGTCGGCGTGTAGCTACATGAGACTACAAGAGGGTAGAGTTACAACAGGGTATACAGTATATATGAAATGTGTGTGTGTGCATGTCATTACGTATTTGTGATGTATGGAGAGCGGTAGTGTAGTGGTTAGTGCGCTGTGCTACAAACCCGGCGACCCGAATTCGATTCGCGCTCACGGCCACCACCAGTGACGATTATCTAAACCGGTTCTGTGTCCTCCCCGAGGTCGACTCAGCCTAAAATGAATACCTGGTATGGTGTGTAAATATCGCCATTGTGGAGACAAAGGCAGCCGGGCGTGGTGACGGCCACCAACCCCCTCGTGTGCCTTGCCGGCCTTCATAGGTGCTCGCGAGCAGCACTTGCCCCAATCGTATGTTCACCTTATACGGGGGGATCTTTGTCTTTGTTTTCCTGTGTGTCATTCAAACTCTGCACTCCCTGGTCCCATCTCAAGGGATCGTCCAGGTGAAATACTCTGATGAAATAAAAGGTCAGGCGTCCATTGCGCGACGTCTGCAGATTCTGGCAAAGGGAAGGAGGTGATGGGCAGGATCGGTGACATCATTGGCAGTGGCCAAGATGGCTACCTACTAACTCTAACTGAATTGAGCACCCGATGCAGTGTGTTCAACGTTAGCACTGGGGAAACAAAGGTGGCCAGGCGTGCATGGTGCTGGGGTCGGAAACCAAAATAGCAAGATAATATTTTTTCAAGTTCGGTAAAAAAAACGAAATATTTCAAGAGTTGCAATGCATGTGAATACCAGATAGCGGTCCTTAAAAAATAACGTCACGAAGCAGTCCTTAAAGAGCCACACGTGGCTCCGGAGCCACAGGTTGCCGACCATTGTCTTTGTTACGCCTTATCAGAAAATGTCGATTGATGTTGAAATGTGAGCAGTCGACCATAACCACACAGCTGCTACCGCCGAGCCAGGGTATCGCTCACCAGTCGTACTCATGACGGCGCTCGCTCTCGTGCAGTGTGGAGGGCGGAGAGCTCTTCAACCGCATCATCGACCAGAGCGGGCTCTCCGAGCTCGACACCGTGCTGTTCGTGCGGCAGATCTGCGAGGGAGTGCACTACATGCACCAGCAGTATATCCTGCACCTCGACCTCAAGGTGCCGGGCCTCCCGCGGCCTCCTCTGGACGACACTCACCTTGTTTGGTTTTTGTTTTCGTGTCGCATTTGACCTGGACGGTCCTGCGAAGTGGCATGATCTGTGTCCGGGTGGCAGAAGATGTTTTTGTATCGAAATCTGGCACAGTACGGTCTTGATGTATTTGACCTACACTGTACTTTCCTAGCATTCCCTGACCTTTTTGTTGTCTCGCAGGCCATCTTGAGATCTGTTTTAACCTTCCATGAGTTTTCCTGGTTCTTCCCTGGCATTCATGGGCATCTTTTAGGCCTCTCTGTGACTTCCTGACCTTTTGCAATTTCCCTGACCTTCCCTTGCCAACTGTAAACTTACTTGCGATGTTTGTATGTATCTAGCTTCCAAGATCATCTTGGGGCATGTTCCCTGCCATTCCCTGCATCTTGTTTGCAATTCTTAAACATCTCTCACCTCTTTTTGGCTTTCCCAGGCCTTCACTGATGCTCATTGAATCTTGCCAGGCATGTTTGTCCATCTCCAAAATACTGGTATTTTCTGGGTTTTTCTGGCTTTCCCAAGGCTTTTCTTGACATCCCTGGCCATCCCTAATCTTTCAGGCCTTCCTGAGGCTGATATGACTTACCTTGCCTCTCCATTACCTTCCCAGCACGTTCAGAGTGCTTAAGTAGCCCCATCATACAAGTGATGCCCCCTCATTCCCACGCGTTTATCCTGAATGCTTCAAGTGCGTAGGAACAAAGGCAAGGTAGCCAAGGTTGGACCTGTGGCTGGAGTAACCAAGGGGACCTTGAGAGCTTTGGAGCCCAGGAGAGACATTGTGTGGGGGGGGGGGGGGGGGGGCAGTAGGGTGTGCAACTTCCCCCCTTGCCACCCCACACACTCTCACACCCATTACCCATCTTCTCTGTCTTTTCCAGCCAGAAAACATCTTGTGCTTGAGTAGATGGGGCTACCAGATTAAGATAATTGACTTTGGACTTGCACGCAGGTAAGTCAGCCCATCCCCTCCCCCCCCACCCTTGATTGCTTGCTGACAATCGCTTGTGATCACTAAATCACGATTACTTATCCACGATTATGTGAAACCTCTTGACACGTGAACCCTCTTGGTCGCTAACTCGCATTCTCTCGCTCACAGTGGCTTCGAAGTTGTGTTGCATGCGTATGTGTGCAGTGCCAGTGTTTGCCCCATCAGACTGTAAGACTACGTGTGTGCGTGCATGCGCGTGTATAAAGGTACAAGCCACGGGAGAAGCTGAAGGTCAGCTTTGGGACGTCTGAATTCCTGGCACCTGAAGTCGTCAACTATGAGTTTGTGTCTTTCCCGACCGACATGTGGAGCGTGGGAGTCATCACCTACATGCTGTGAGCGCACACGAGCATCACGTGGGGCGCTTTGGAGAATGATTGCCACGTCATGCAGAGCTCGGGGGACAAAGGTGGCACAAGCGGGAGCGTGAGAGCAGAAATTGGCATTAAAACCCCTGGCAATGCAGGTCCTTGGCCACCACTGCCCCATTATTATTCAGTGTCGGCCATAATACCTTGTAGCCCATGGCGTGTTCCGCCCAAGCCGGCTCACTTTTCTCGGACGTTTTGACGAAGTCCTGAGCCTAAGTGTGTTCTATGATTCGTGTGCTCCTCTTCCTACCTCGCAATGTCATTCTGAGCACACATATTTCCCTCCCCCAATTGTGCACTCTTCAGTTTTTATAAATTCTTTCTTGTCAACGATCGTGTTTCTAAACAGTGATGTTGAAGCCGTTTTCTTGACAATTCGCTTCCTGCTAAGCGTCCGACCCTCAGCGAGGGTAACATCGCCAAAGGCAAGCCATTCTATATGCATCTCTTCTGGGAAGGCATCATTTCAGCAGCATTGGCTCAACACAAACAAACAGTGGATTGGTTTATGATTTATGATGATTTGTGCTTGTCTGTGGAAGTCTTTTATCTGCTTAGAGAGACTCTCCGCGATTGTGGAATCCCCTTCTTTGGTCCATTCGGGATTTAGAGTGTCGTTACATTTTTACGTACAGCACTTTGAGGTACTTGTATCAAATAGAGGCTATTATTATATTATACTTTATACAAGTGTAGTGGGTCCAAGAAGACTGGAGACGGATCACTTGAGGCAACACGTTTATTTAATACAACTGCGTGATACACGGGTCCCTGACACAGAGGGGTAGTGGCCCCTCTACCCGATACCTGGGGAGGTATAGCCTCCGGGCTAGCGTGTCCTACCACTGGGGCTAGTACTCTCAACCCTCCGGGCCAGCGTGTCCTGTCACTGGGGCTAGTACTCTCAACCCTCCGGGCCAGCGTGTCCTATCACTGGGGCTAGTACTCTCAACCCTCCGGGCCAGCGTGTCCTGTCACTGGGGCTAGTACTCTCAACCCTCCGGGCCAGCGTGTCCTACCACTGGGGCTAGTACTCTCAACCCTCCGGGCCAGCGTGTCCTGTCACTGGGGCTAGTACTCTCAACCCTCCGGGCCAGCGTGTCCTGTCACTGGGGCTAGTACTCTCAACCCTCTGGGCTAGCGTGTCCTATCACTGGGGCTAGTACTCTCAACCCTCCGGGCCAGCGTGTCCTACCACTGGGGCTAGTACTCTCAACCCTCTGGGCTAGCGTGTCCTGTCACTGGGGCTAGTACTCTCAACCCTCCGGGCCAGCGTGTCCTGTCACTGGGGCTAGTACTCTCAACCCTCCGGGCTAGCGTGTCCTGTCACTGGGGCTAGTACTCTCAACCCTCTGGGCTAGCGTGTCCTGTCACTGGGGCTAGTACTCTCAACCCTCCGGGCCAGCGTGTCCTGTCACTGGGGCTAGTACTCTCAACCCTCCGGGCTAGCGTGTCCTGTCACTGGGGCTAGTACTCTCAACTCTCCGGGCTAGCGTGTCCTGTCACTGGGGCTAGTACTCTCAACTCTCCGGGCTAGCGTGTCCTGTCACTGGGGCTAGTACTCTCAACCCTCCGGGCTAGCGTGTCCTGTCACTGGGGCTAGTACTCTCAACTCTCCGGGCTAGCGTGTCCTGTCACTGGGGCTAGTACTCTCAACTCTCCGGGCTAGCGTGTCCTGTCACTGGGGCTAGTACTCTCAACCCTCCGGGCTAGCGTGTCCTGTCACTGGGGCTAGTACTCTCAACCCTCTGGGCTAGCGTGTCCTGTCACTGGGGCTAGTACTCTCAACCCTCCGGGCCAGCGTGTCCTGTCACTGGGGCTAGTACTCTCAACCCTCCGGGCTAGCGTGTCCTGTCACTGGGGCTAGTACTCTCAACTCTCCGGGCTAGCGTGTCCTGTCACTGGGGCTAGTACTCTCAACCCTCCGGGCCAGCGTGTCCTACCACTGGGGCTAGTACTCTCAACCCTCCGGGCCAGCGTGTCCTGTCACTGGGGCTAGTACTCTCAACCCTCCGGGCCAGCGTGTCCTGTCACTGGGGCTAGTACTCTCAACCCTCTGGGCTAGCGTGTCCTATCACTGGGGCTAGTACTCTCAACCCTCCGGGCCAGCGTGTCCTACCACTGGGGCTAGTACTCTCAACCCTCTGGGCTAGCGTGTCCTGTCACTGGGGCTAGTACTCTCAACCCTCCGGGCCAGCGTGTCCTGTCACTGGGGCTAGTACTCTCAACCCTCCGGGCTAGCGTGTCCTGTCACTGGGGCTAGTACTCTCAACCCTCTGGGCTAGCGTGTCCTGTCACTGGGGCTAGTACTCTCAACCCTCTGGGCTAGCGTGTCCTGTCACTGGGGCTAGTACTCTCAACCCTCCGGGCTAGCGTGTCCTGTCACTGGGTCTAGTACTCTCAACTCTCCGGGCTAGCGTGTCCTGTCACTGGGGCTAGTACTCTCAACCCTCCGGGCTAGTGTCTGTCACTGGGCTAGTACTCTCAACCTCCGGGCTAGTGTGTCCTGTCACTGGGGCTAGTACTCTCAACCCTCCGGGCTAGTGTGTCCTGTCACTGGGGCTAGTACTCTCAACCCTCCGGGCTAGTGTGTCCTGTCACTGGGGCTAGTACTCTCAACCCTCCGGGCTAGCGTGTCCTGTCACTGGGGCTAGTACTCTCAACTCTCCGGGCTAGCGTGTCCTGTCACTGGGGCTAGTACTCTCAACCCTCCGGGCTAGCGTGTCCTGTCACTGGGGCTAGTACTCTCAACCCTCCGGGCTAGCGTGTCCTGTCACTGGGGCTAGTACTCTCCACTCTCCGGCTAAGGGGACCTAAGGGGAGGCTATCTGACCCGACCCAGCCAAGGTCCATGGGTCCCGACCACTGGCCCACTACAGCCCCGGCCCTTAGAAGGACGTCGGGTCTGGGGGTTTCCAGGGTCCTCGCCGAGCTGGTCTTCTTTCTTCAGCTTGACGAAGACTGCCGGACTCGTCCAGAGGTCCGGCTTTTATACTCGTGCCAGGGTCTCTCCGCCCCTGGCCATGGCCCTCCTTCTGGAACTCTTTAGGGGGCTCTGGAATATCCCCCAACTCCTCTGTTGGGGCTGGGAGAACCTAGTGTCCCAACGGCCCGACTCATCCTACCCATCCTGAGTTACCACCCCCTATGGACGCATGTCTGCTACTACAGGTGAGTATATACAATGCCTAACGATGACGCTATATATAATGCTTGTCAATGACGCTACACAAGCATTCGCTTCAAACTAGAAAAAACATCTCCGTTTGTCGAAATAACCAAGCGCAAGTGGCCAGCAAGCACACAGCACTATCGGAGCTGTAATGGATAAGTGAATGCGTGTCCTGGGTTGAGCAAGGTTATTGAAGCATAAGAGCTCATTCTTGTGTGCGACCGCTGTGCGGCGTTTCCACAACGTTCTCGAGCACGCTCTCATCTCACCCCCGGTGCTGGATCCACTGCATTCCCACCAGCCCATCTTGTGGTTCTTGGCTGTGGCCATTCCTTCCACGGTGGCTTTCTTGAGGTAGTTTGCTCATCTCTCACATTAACATAGCCACCTATGTGCCGTCTTGGACGGCGTCCTCCGATCTTACATGAACATGCTAATCTCTCACATTAACATCACTAGCCCTGCCCACTTTGTTTATGACCCTTGGGCTACACCCATTCTAAACCTTTAAAATAGTCTTCCTCAGCAGCTTTACTCTTTTTTCCTCCTGATGATGATCGCTTGTGTTGTGATCGAAACGTCATAGTTTTTTCTTTCAACCTATCTACGTGACTTTACCGAAAGAGCCAAAGAATATGAATTCCTGCAGTCACGAAAGCTCTTCCCGCTCTCTCGGTTGCCAATGGCTTTGCTCACTTCAAGAAACCTCTTCCACCACTCTTTATCCATTACAACTTTGTGAGTCTCTTTGATGCTGGCCGCTTAACGTTTTACTCCTTAAGGCCCATTTTGCTCCGGCGACTGTGTAACAAAACTCGAGCAGGACGCTTTTTAAACGTGCAGTGGTGACACCACGGCCCTGGTTGATGCAGCACGAGCAGTCACCCCGCTCACTGCTCGTTACAGAGGGTTGCAATTTCAAGCTGGCCGGCCACCACGGTCAATACCGCGGTGCATATCGACCGCAAAATGCTCCTCGATGTCCACTTCACAGTGGACGTTAAAGATCCCGTAACGTCATTTGAAGACCGTTCAATAACCTAGGCCATTGTTTGCCGGAATCACCGTCAGAATTTAAAGATTATTATTCTTTGGGTCTTTCGATACAGTCACGTAGATGGCTCAAAGAAAAAACTAAACTAGAACATTTCGATCACAACACAGGTGATTATCATCAGAGGAAGGAAAGCTCCTGACTGTTTTATAGGGTGTAGTCCTCGGGTCATAAACAAAGTGGGCGGGGCTAGTGATGTTAATGTGAGAAATAGCATGTTAATGTGAGAGATTAGCATGTTAATGTGAGAGATTAGCATGTTAATGTGAGATGAGCATGTTAATGTGAGAGATTAGCGTGTTAATGTGAGAGATTAGCATGTTAATGTGAGATGAGCATGTTAATGTGAGAGATTAGCGTGTTAATGTGAGAGATTAGCATGTTAATGTGAGATGAGCATGTTAATGTGAGATTAGCATGTTAATGTGAGAGATTAGCATGTTAATGTGAGAGATCAGCATGTTAATGTGAGAGATTAGCATGTTAATGTGAGAGATGAGCATGTTAATGTGAGAGATGAGCATGTTAATGTGAGAGATTAGCATGTTAATGGGAGAGATGAGCATGTTAATGTGAGATCGCAGAGCCACCACGACATAGAGGTCAGCGTCCGTAGGTGGCCACGTTGGCGCAAGAAATTCAACTTGTTGATGTGAAATTGGAGAGCCGAAGCCACGGGGAACATCACAGCCAGTTATGACTTAAACTAGCTGATAACGTCCTTCCAATTATTGCCACGTTTGAACCCACCTTCTAAGTTTCAATTGTGTCTGTGTCTGTATTTATGTGTAATGGGCCCAACTGAGTCGCAGACGTACGTCTTAGAGTCAACACATTTATTACACCAACACGAATACACAAAGGGGTAGCTGCCCCTTTACCAGATAACAGCCTAGGGTGGTGCACCACCTGGCTAACTACACTAACACACTGGGAGTTAGCTACAATGGACCGGACCCCGGCTCGGGTTCCGGACCAAGTGTTAGAGACTCTTCTGGATGTAGAACGTAGATCTTCAGATGACGGTAGCAGCAACGAACCCCGGTCCCTGCGGTGACCCGGCTTACATGCTCCCGGGCCGGGGCCGGCTCCGCCCTTGGCCCCGCCCACCTTCGAGAGAGCTCTGGCTCTCTCTCGACTCTTCTCGAGACAACTTTCCCCGGACACGTGACCACCCCTTAGTCCCCACTTGGGGGCCCGCTGTAGACTTTACCGGTCACGTGCCTTTGGGGTCAACCAGATTGCCATGGCCCAGTGTAACCCTGTCCCTGGGCTGACACTCTCCCACTCCCTCCGGTGGGAGACAGCACTGCACGCCATGCGTGGTGCCACCAAGCCCTCACTAGGGCTGGTACTACACCCACCTATGGGGTGTCCGCGATGACGGTGCATCCACGCCGTGCCTTGCTAGAGCTGGCATTACTTGGTGACATGCACGATGCTACTACATATGTGGTGTCTGCGATGTGAGTACATAGCACGGCCTGCACCATACAGTGACATCCGCGATGTCACTACATATGGATGGCTTCATGAACGAATCTTTGTTGATAGTCAGTGGGTTTGCAAAGTACCTTCGTCTTAGAGAAATCAATTTCGTGTGAGCCCACCGCATTAAAACAATGATCAGCCACGGCTAAGGTATTGGTCCTACAGTGTTTCAGATCTGCCTTATGTTCACGAACACGGTCTGATACATGTCGCTTAGTTTCCCCAATGTAACTACTGCCACAGACACAGCTTATTTGTAGACGCCGGGGTATTGCATATCAGGGATCACATCCTTCACAGATGGGATCAGATCACGAATTTTACGTGCTGTGTTAAATTGAACCTGGATCTTGTGTTTGTTCATGATTTTGGAAATCTTTTTGGTGACCCCTGATATGTATGGCAAGGTGATGGTTTTGATGTGGTCCTCATATGGTTATTTCCCAATAAGTTGGGGTGATAGCTTTACGGATTGTGTAGTCTGAATATCCATTCATCTTGAGAGCTTGGTGTATGTGCTCCAGCTCACTGGCTAGGTGATGATGGTCGAACATGCATCGAGCTCTATGGTGTAGAGATTTCATGAGGGAATTCTTCTGAGATGGATGGTGGTGGGAGTCCGGTTTTATGTAGGCATCCATATGGGTGGCTTTCCTGTCGACAGAGTGTCCCATTGAGCCATCTGGTCTCTTTTCGATTAAAACATCCAAGAATGGTAGCTTACCATCCTTTTCCACTTCCATGGTGAATTTGATGGCTGGGTGTATGGAATTGATGTGGTTGAGGATTGGTTCAGAGCTGGTCGGCCATGTGGCCAGATGACGAATGTGTCATCTATGTACCTCTTCCACAAGGACGGACGTAGAGTGGATGCCTGGATGGCACCTGTCTCAAACTTTTCCATGAAAACATTGGCTACAACTGGATATAAGGGAGAACCCATTGGGGTACCTTCAACTTGTTTGTAGAATGTTACATTCCAGGTGAAGTAAGTGTTGGTGAGGCAGTGTCTCACCCGGGTCGGTACATCAGCATTCAGTCTTTGTTGGACCAAATCTTCAATGATTGCAACGGTGTCAAGCACAGTAACTTTGGTAAACAAAGAGAATACATCGAAACTCACGAGCAAATTACCTGGAGATAGTGATATGTCCTTAATTAACGATACCAAGTGAGCTGAGGTAAGTACAGCTGAGGTGGTCTTACCAGTGAATGGTTGTAAGGTTTCAGACAGAAATCAGGCCAGTTTGTAGGTGGGTGAGTCAATGGTGAAGACGATAGGACGAAGGGGTGTACCTTCTTTATGGATTTTTGGTAAGCCATACAATCTGGGTGGTCTAACAGCAGAAGGTTTTAAGGAAAACCGCGTGGTTGGTTCGATTAAATGTCGAATCGGTGATGATATTGTTGGTATTCGTAACGAGGCTATTGGTGGTATCTCTTTTAATTTTTGTATAGCTACCATCATTAAGTAGGTCCTGAATGCTGTTATTGTGTGTGGCTTTGTCCATGATAACTGTGGCATTGCCCTTTTCGGCTGAGAGGATGACGATGTCATCTCTCTTTTTTTATTTGAGACAGCTCAAAGCGTTCTTCGTTACTGACGTTGCTGATAGGTGTCTTAGCGTTGTTGAGGATTGCTGCGATTTCTGATCCGGCCACGTCTGCAGTGATGTGTCCCAAACCCTTAAGGGCTACATCGACCTGGGCAATGATATCAACCACTGGGATGGCTGCGAAATTCAACCCTTTAGCTAGAACCGATTTTAGGCTGCCAGAAACTAGACTGTTACTCTGGTTGATATCAATCTTGTCAATGTCTATTTTCTTTACGTGTGAATCTGGCTTCTTCTTGGAAATGAGGTTGAACTTGTAAATCAGGTTATCTTTGCATTTAGCTGACATTGAGGCAGCTGAAGAGGCTAACATGTAACCTACATGTTCCCATTCAGATGTAGACATTTTTTCTGTCAATGTTAAGTGTGATTTCAAGAGAGTCTTGTCTAAAATATCTAGTTCAAATCGGAGCAATCTTATTCTCTCTGAGATCAGGGCTAAGCCGGCCCTGAACAAGATCCGTTTAGCATTAGGAGATGTGATAGCAGCAGATGTCAGTGTAAAGGCGATCGGTATTACCTTTGTGTCGCGGCATCTGTTCAGAAATGTGAGCGACTCGATCAGATGAGCCTTCTTGTCTCGAAGTTTGTTAAAAGGTCTAATAGTTTTGTGAAAACCCTCCACGTTGAGGCGGTTAAATCTTTAGTTAAATATTCATATTCTTAGGTTTTTTCGGTAAAGTCACGTAGGTAAAACATTTAAATTAATAAAAGTAAAATAAAACATAAAAAAATTCACGACGTTTCGGAAGCAACACAAGCCTCCGTCTTCAGGTGGAACCGTCACAGCCACGACAGCTGTATCAAGTAAATGAGAGATCACAAGAAATACTACCCCGTATATATAATGGTTGAGGGGGGAAGGGCCAGGAACGGCACACTTTTTTATTAATATGGTAAGGTGAGGCTTAAGACCAAGAGTAGACTGCATAACAAAGGACTGAGCCTTTGTTATGGAGAGGTGCGGTTTGTAACTAACACCTAGCATACATAACAAAAGTGTGAAAAAAGAAAGCAAGTAAAAACTAAAACTGGTAAAACAACAAACTGGCTGTCTATCAATAACCTGTAATAGTTGTCTGTCAAAACAAAATTTTTAATTTGTTTTATTTTACTTTTATTAATTTAAATGTTTTACCTACGTGACTTTACCGAAAAAACCTAAGAATATCAATCTTTAGTTAAAGCTGTCGTGACTGCAGGAATTGATATTCTTTAGGTCTTTCGGTAGAGTCACATAGATGGTTCAAAGAAAATAACAAAAAGCTGCGACGTTTCGATCACAACAGAACCGAAAGACCCAAAGAGTATGAATTCCTGCAGTCACGAAAGCTTTAAGTCAAGATTTAATTTAAAGATTATTTGAAAATTACATATCACTGTTTCTGTGTCGCCACGTCCCCGTGTTGCCCATGACTCCCATGTCCTGCGTTGCTGTCTCCACTTCCCCCTTGTCTCCATGTGTCCCAGCCTCAGTGGCCTCTCTCCATTCCTGGGCGAAGATGAGAGTGAGACACTGAACAACATCGTTACCTCCAACTGGGAGTTTGATGGGGAGGTGTTTAGCGAGGTGTCTGAAGACGCAAAGGACTTCATTACGAACCTCCTTGTCAAGGGGAAGGGGTGAGTGTGCACGTGCTCGTGTGCACGTGTGTGCGTGCATGTGCGCGTTTGAGTGTGTGCATGTATGCGTGTCCGTGTGTGTGTCCATGTGTCCGTGTGTGCGCGTGCAGGCGTGTGGGCGTATGCGTGCATGCATGTGTGCGTTCCAGTGTGCCTGTGCACGTATTCGCGTGCATATGTGCGTTTTGAGTGTGTGCGTGTATGCATGTCCGTGCGTTTACGCGTGTCTGTATGTGCACGTTGTATGCGTGTCCATGTGTGCGCATGCACACTTGTGCGCTTATACGTGCATGAGCGTGTGCAATCGAGTGTGCCTGTGCACGTGTGCGTGGGTGTGCGTGCTCGTCTGCATGGTCGTGGGCATGTGTGTGTGCGTGTGTTTGAGTTGAGGCAGTGTTGTCCGGCCGGGTGGCTTAGTGCTTGAGCGAGGGGGTTGACTCAGGCCATTATACTTTGGGGTCAATACTCTAAATGGGGAACCGCTTTGTGGATAAGTCACCAGTGATTGTTCTATGGATAGACTCGTGCCTGCCATAGGAATTCAAGAGGTGAACGCTGACAGCTGGTGTGTGGTGCAATACATGCCCATATAACCTCGTGGTTTAACCCACCACATTACATGTGTAGTGAGTTCAACTGAGTCGCAGACGTAGACTTGGAGGCAACACATTTATTTAACTCCAACACACGGGGTAACTTCCCCTTAACAAAATAACAACCTATGGTGGTGACCACCAGGCTAACTACACTAATTACAACATCACTAGCTACTACGGACCGAGACCGCAGCTCGGGTCCGGGTCCACGTGTTGGAGACTCGTTGAGCGGAGAACGTAGACGAAGGTTTTTTCAGGATGAACAACAATGCCTGTCCCTCTGGGGACCCGACTTCTATTCTCTGCGGTGTGTCTGCCTCCGCCCTTTGCCACGACCACCTTCCAGAATCCTCGGGAAGAATCTGGGTCCCAACCACGTGACCACCCCTAGCCCCCACTTGGGCCCCTTTGTAGACTTAACTGGTCACGTGTCCTCTCGGGTCAACCAGAGTGCCATGGCCTTTAGTAACCTCATTCTTACGGCCAGCACTCCCACACCCTGTCCTGTAGGGCTGGCACTGCATGCCAAGCGTGGTGCCATCCAGCGCTATCAATCAGCGCTCACCAGGTTCCTCTAGGGCTGGTACTACACCCACACCATTGTGGTGTCCACGATGTCCTTACACCGCACGCCGTGCCTCTCCAGGGCCGGCACTGCACAGTGACATCCCGCGATGTCACTACACATGTATCTGGATTTTTCATAAATTCACAAAACCATGCCAGCTCTCAGCTTAAAAATCGAGAGAGGTAGGAAGAGTTTAGACATCCTAATCACCATAAGATAACAATCGGCACTGATGATGGAAGTGATGAGGAATTGAACTATTTGCGCTAACTGCTGCACTACCACTCTCTTTATCAGGTGGCGGCTGAGTGCCAAGGGGGCCTTGCAACACCAATGGCTTCTGAAGAGCAACCTGCACAGCCGCCTCACCAAACAGGTGTGCCTGCCCAGAGACACCCGGGTAACACCCGGACACACCTGAGTAACACCTAGGTACACATGGGTATACCTGGGCACACCCAGGTTATGCCTGGGCACACCCGGACACACTTGGGTACATCTGAGCACACGTGGACACACCTAGATACACTTTGGTAACACCCTGACACACCTGTATAACACCAAGAGACACCCAGGTAACACCTGGATCCACTTGGGTAATGCCTGGAGACAACTGGGTACACCTGGGTAAAACCTAGATACACCTGGGTACACCTGGGTACACCTGAGTGTACCCGGATACACCTGGGTACACCAGAATACACTCGGACACACCCAGAAAATACCTCAGCCATGGTCAATCCACTGTTGGATGAACTCTTCCCCTAACCGCTACAACCTTTCACGACACTTCGATGTAACGATCCATCCCAACACCGGCACATGAACTGATTTCATAGCACCATCTCCTCGGCAAGTGTCCTCTCGGGCGCGCTCAGCTCCTGGCGGCTCCTCTGTTACTATTCCGGATTGTTCGGCCATCGTACCTTCTCGCCATGACCGGTCTCCTCGGTGGGACGATGTCTCTAACCTGCCTGCGTTCTCTAATCCACGTGCTCCTCTCTCTGTCTCTCGGTGTAAGTTCCAAGCACGAATCTCCCCATTTTGATTCTTTGCACACTTTTACATTTTCGTTCGATGTTTTTTGTTGTTTTTATTTTTTAAACTTAAAAGTACGTTGATGCTCTCCTATACACTGTCTTCGTTCACGTTTGTCATTTCAGCTGCAAGGGAAGAGGGGGTCTCTGACTCAAGCCACATTGCCGGTGTTTCCCAGAAGCCTGACCCCTTAACACAACCATCTGCTCAGGTCCTTGCTCTCATCAGCAACACAAGCACATCTTCTTGGTTTTTTCGGTAAAGTCACGTAGAAGGGAAATAATAAAATAATAAAAATAAAACTAAATAAAATAATTCTCACGACGTTTCGGCCACAACGCAAGCAGCCGTCCTCAGGTGAAGAACAGGTCTGTCGGAAAGACAGCGTCTGAATGGGCACCACCAGGCTTGGCAACGTATATTTAAGCTGGGTTGGAGGGGGGAAGGGGCGCCTTGACAAAGGAATTTGCATATCAAGAGGAATTTAGCATATTTATGGGAAATGCAGATATGGGATTAGTCACTACTTGTGGAATGTGTAGGAGGTGGGTGGGGGGGGGTTTCAAAGTCATATTATGCCCGTGCATTATGCAGTATGCAGGATTACAATTCAGTGGGCTCACATGACATTGACTTCTCCAAGACAGAGGTTCTCTGAAAGAACCAAGAAGATGAATCCCTGCAGTCACGAAAGTTTTAAATCGAAACAAGCACATCTTTCGCATGGATCTTGCAATTTCCCTCTAGACTATATAATTAACAGTGAACGGGAGGGGTCTGTCTCTCCGGAGCCGAGGTGCGTATGTGTCCATGTGGCTCTCTCATGCGGCTTCTCCGTTCCTTGTGCCTTCCAGCCAAAGAGTCGCGTGGAGGACGGCCTGTGTAGCATCACGCAAGCCTCGGATTCACCGAGACCCGAGGACTTGCATCACGACCCGGAAACTTGCATAAATTTACACGGACCCATAGATTGACATATAGACCCATAGATTTATATAGAGACCCATAAAACTTACATAGATAACCATAGATGGATTGGTGGCAGAGTGATTAGCTCACTGCACTATGGACCTAGCAAATTCAGTTCGATTTACAACTATGACTAACATCAGTGGTAACATAATATAAACACATTATTGATTAATTAAAATTACAATACATAAGAGGGATGAAAATCTGATATTACCGATATTAAAAAGACATAGACATACAGAGATACCGATAGACTTCATAGATATCCACAGACTCAGAAGAAACCTGTAGACTGGCGAGACCTCATAGACTTACACAGAGACCCATGGGCCTGCCTTCACGTCTCTTCAGCATCCAATGTCTGGGTCAGAATGTGTTTTGTAATGTAAAACAAATGCAATATAATTCCATGTGAGAGGAGCAAGGTGGTACAGCCAGTAGGCTGTCGATGATTTGCGTGTGTTTGAATGTTGTACACCGATGGCAGCAAAGCGCCGTATGGGTCAGGATCCCCGTACGTCACCATTGCCGTTACATCCCTGGACAGCCTTGGTCAAAGTGGCCTTCAAGCCCTCTCCACTCAAACCACTTGCGGTGTGCGGTGACCGCGTGCGCGACGCGGTGTTGGTGACTGCACACTCCCCTGTTCACGAGAACACGTCCGCAAGTGTTGCCGTGTTCGAGGCGAATCGTAAGATGTGTGGGTTGCGGCTGCTGGCTCGTTCAGACCGGTTTCGTGTTATTTTCTGTATCTGCACCATCGTACCGTAGTTCGTCGTCGTGTAACAATGGCAGCTCAGCGGTCGACCGAGCGGCTCGGGTCAGAAGGTTGCGAGTTCAAAATGTTTGGGCTGTGACCATCTAGTCCAGTGTTTTCGACTAGTTTTCAGAGGGGGGGCCACTTTTGCCAATAAGACATCATCAGTGAGAGGGCCGCCACATTTGAAACCATTGGGGGTTTGCCAGCAGCACGATGACGGGGGGTGTTGTCACGTGTTGTGTCTTGTTGGGGGCCGCACTAAAGGCCACCAGGGATCGCCAGTGGCCCACGGGCCTTGCAATGAAGAACACCGGTCTAGCCCCTTTATCAGAAACCCAGTTTCTTGCTCTGCTTATTTAGCAAGTTGGGATTTGTTGTCATTGCAGCCCTGATATGTGTTTTATTCATTGTATGTGCCAATGTGTTGCTGTGATTGTGTTGTAATTGTGTTTATGCATGAAATGTGATTGGGCAGGGAGCCGAACTACAAACACCGCCTTCTGTGGTTGTCAATAATAATACTGATGATGACGATGTCCTTGGTTCATCCAGGAACGACTTGTATTGTACTTGAATAGGCTCCATGGCTGACACCATGGGGAGGGCTTCATACAGCAGTGGATTGAAATAGCAGTAGACAGTACTGTTATTCAAGTGGTCTTGACTCAAACGAACAAATAAATAGGAGAGCTAAGCAATATAAACCCTTTTCCGAAGCATCTCAAGATCAGGTCATGATGTGTTCATAATAAGCCCACTCATGCAGCACTCGTGTCAGTAGACTACAGCTGCAGCCCTTTTGCCAATCCACCGCTGGATGAAGGCTCCCCACTCTGTGTTGCTCATAGGGGTGGTTTGACCATACATCACCACAGTGGTCAGTGCAGATTGAAAATAGGAGTCCAGGGCAGCTTCAGATATCACTCATCACATGTTAGCCGTGGCTGGCAGTCAAACCGAGGTAGCCACCTCTCCATGAATCATAAGGATACAATGTTATTGACAAAATTGAATTAATTTATCTTCCAATTGTGAACCAAGTGGCTTTCCTGGGTAACATATCATGATTGTTGTATAAAGAAATCCCCCCTGGTGAAGGATTTGCTTGTGTTGGTGAGATCGTTCACTGGATCACGAGTGCGTCTGTGCACGGAACTTAGTACCCTGTAGAACGTGGAATGGACGTGGCTCTAGGCACCAACATCGTGGCCACTCGAGGCAACGCTTCATGCGTGTCCTGTAGAGGCGCATCTTTAACAGAAACAGTGTTCTCATGGTCCTGTTCTCTCGTTTACCGAGTTTCACAACTCGTGCGAGGCCGCGTGTCCACAAGCGTCCTGCTTGTGTTTTTTTGAGTTGTGTCTTATTTAAGCATAGTTATACAGATGTTCACGTCAACATTGTCAAGGGGAGTTATTTATCACGATAACGCTGGGGTAGTGTGGGGTCCCTGTTGTGGGCCAGTGTGCGAGTTTCCCTGTTGGTGTCGTGCCGTGTGGCTGTGTCGATTTGCATGCCCCGAATTCTATAGATGTCATATTTTGCGTGCTATTTTATTGAATTTGGTTGATTTTTTGTTTCAAGTTTTCCTTCTGTGAAGGTTTTTAATCAAACAATTCTGAATGCTATTTACAAACCGTACACATGAACGCATACATATGTGCATCAACATGTCCACCTTATGCACACGCACCGCATACGTACATGCACTTGTATCGGAGGTCATGAGTGGTAACTGATGCTAATGTAATACATGACACAAAATCATAATGCTGGAGAGTTTATAAGTAACAAAATACAAAAAATGTACACATCCCATCAGCCACACGATCCAATGGAAGTCCATCATTTGAGCAGCATTGGTTCAACACAAGCAAAATTTAGACCGATTTTTCATATTCAGTTTATGGGCAAGGGTCCTCTGTTAGTTCTGGTCTTTGTGAGTTTTTGGATATTCGTTTGAACAATGTGATGTATACTGGCCAGGGGTCGGTAAAACAAGCTCAATATTTAAAGAGCCGCAATGCATGTGAATACAAAGACGGCCCTGAATGAATCACGTCAAACCATGTATTTTTTATTAATCACTATTTTAAGAACAGCACACGCACAATAACTTGTCGCATTTCAAATAATTGTTGGGCTTTTAGACGTTCACCATTTATCGAAAAGAATTAGGAGGGTGTTTTTACTTTGCATTATTGTGTCGAGAGCCACGAAGTAGTCCTCAAAGAGCCGCCGCACGCGGCTCCGGAGCCACAGGTTGCCCACCCCTGATGCAGGCGAATAGAAAGTTGGCAAATCTCAAGCAACTACTGTTTCACACATGCTAACACGCTTACACACGGACAACAGGTGATTTTGCTCACACACATATACATTTACACCAGCCTGTAGCTGTACTTGTTGATGATATGGACAGGAGTATTAGCAAAAGTGCAATCTTTACGTTGTTGCTTTGCACCATTACATATTTTCACGTTAATTTATTTCTAATATCTGTGATTATATGGATCCCCGTCAAACAAATGTGCAATTTCCATCAGCTGATGGCTCGGATGACTGCATTTGTTTCAAATGAAACGCGTTCATTTTTCATAACCTAAAGAAATTTCACAAAGTGGCTTATGGAATTCATTTGTACAAAATAGTGAAGTTTTTTTTAATACACAAAGGTTATATGCCGTATTTGGAATGTTTAAACCACTTATCTCCCCAGGAGATACGCATGGGTCAAAACAGTAGACAATAGGCATGCATAAATGCGGACAGCTCCGTCTCCCCACTTTGGCAAAGTTGTTCTGGAGATCTCACTCTTGCCGCTTGGCCGTTTCCAAAGCTCCAGGAGAACGGAGAGAGGGTGACCCCTGCCGAGTGGCTCAGCGGCAGGGCAAGCAGCTCTCAGCCAGAAAGTCGCGAATTAAACATCCGGTTGGTTGGGGGGGGCGGGGGTTGACTCAGCCCACAATCCTTCCAGGGTCGAGAAAATGAGATGCCACACTTTGTGTGGAAGGAAGTTAACAATGATTGTCCTACGAGAGACTCTGAATGTGGATTTCCACCACGGCTCAGGGCTGTGAATAGGAGATGAGCGCTGCCTCAATTCACGTGAGCAGCAGGACACCACTTTGACTTTTTTTTTGCGAAAGTCCATTTCCAAAAACTTCAGAATCATCGCGACTCACTCAGCCCAGGGCTGCGCACGGTGCCTTAGATGCGGGTGGGACCGTTTGCTGGGAAATGATGTAGCCAGCAAATGGTGGCTTCTGTTGAATTGTAAATTAAAAGCGACCTGGATTGCTTGTCCCGCGAGTCTGTGTCGTGTGCTGTGAGGGTCGGGATCATCGCCCCCCAAACGCGACATTGCAGAAACTCCTGATTTTGCCAAAAACTCGAACCTCCTCTGAAGAATGTCCGTGACCCCGGAGAGCCACACGGCTGCCACTGAACACGAGCCACGAGTCCGCTCCAGCTTGGGGTTCTCCACATTTAGTCGCCTCAACCTCTCCTCCTGAATTGGTCACGGTCTAATATAAAGCACAAGTAAATAAGAGTAGCACAGTCCTCTACCTACGAACATAATTCGTTCCCGCGACGCGCTCATAAGTAGCACTGTTCGTAAGTCGAAACGGGCTCATGTACTGAATTTAAACGCCCACACTCACTCCCAGCGCGAGGCCGACTCGTTACATCTCGCGGAGAATCGCTCAGCTGAACAAAATAGTGCCGCGGTTTAATATGCGAGCTAGAGTTCGCGTTTTCATGGAAGTTGTGTGGTGGTCATGCTGGGACACGCGAGCGCCAAGCCACAGTACTTACTGGTGCGGGGTGCTTGTGTTACCCCCCGTCCGGAATCCGCCAAGGGGAGGGGGCTGTGGGGTGTGTGTGTGATCCCACAGAACCCCGCCTCTCGGTGGGGAGCGGTATAAACCGGTGCGGACCGGTTGGGTTACCCATGGCCAGAACCCCTTCGAGGGGAGGGGGCTGGGGGATGCGTACGATCCCACAGAACCCCGCCCCTCGGTGGGGAATGGTATAAAAGGCGGGATCTTGAGAGCAGAGGGCAGTTCGCCTCAAGCCAAAGCAAAGAAGCCGCCTGAAGACAAGACCCTGGACCCCAAGCACCGACGTCCTTCTCAGTGCGGTGCCAGTGGTCAGGAGGCTAGGACCCTGAGGATCCCTCAGCCCGACGTCATTTTAAGGGCCGGGTCTGGATGGGCCAGTGGTCGGGGACCCACCGAGCCAGTGGTGGGTCAGCCTCCCCTAGGTCCAGCTAGCCGGAGGGCCATAGGAGCCATTAGCCCGGTGGCTAGGATACATTAGCCCGGAGGCTGTACCTCCCTAGGTCGTGGGTGGAAGGGGCCGTTACCCCTTCGTGTTAGGGATCTAGTTGTGTTACTGTGATAGTTATAAATAAAACGTGTTGCCTCCTACGACGACTCTGTCTCCATACAAGACTGCTACAGTTTTTATCGCGAGTGCGGGTATTCATAAGTCGGGAACTATGTACAACTTACGCAAAAGTCTAGGTTGCTTTTGTTTCAAACAATGGACCTCAAAAAACTAATTCCAGAGTAAGTATCAAGGGCAAGAGAAAACAAACTGTTTGCTTGCAAAGAGCGATGCTCGAGAATAAGGAAGGATTTCCAAGGGGCCACAGAGCAAGTCACACGAACAGGACGAATGGTAATGGTGGTAAGAGTAGACTTGCTCGGTTAATGTTGTGGCGACTTGAAGTTAAACGACTTCAAGCGAAACCAGGTTCCAGGGAGATATTTTATTCACCAGCTGAAAACCATTACAAATGCAGTACCATTTAAAAAGATATTAAACACACAATTTGATAGAAGAGTGAGTTTTAAGACATTTCATGAAAAAAATAGTTTTCTGTACTCGCTAACGATGATACGGAATCTTGACTTAAAGCTTTCGTGACTGCAGATATCTCCGTGGCTTTACTGAAAGACCCAAAGAAGATGATGCAGAAGCTTGGTGGAATGCGATGCATGAGTGAACGGTGGAGTCAGAGAGTGAACGTGGTGGATCGTCCGGCCGCTGCTCTCGTTGCTGTTGCGGAGCTCTCCCCCCACATGTACTGCCCGCTCGGTCGGTGCGGTGCTCTTAATCTCACTGTCGTTGGCGTGAGGCTTCGAGCGATGCCAAATAACCTATTGCGCATTCCCCTTCATCAAAACGACTTAACCCGCCTAATTTAGTTTCCAACGTTATCTTATTAGTTTTCTTATTTTGCATGAGCTGCACTAACACTGTATGGGCGTTCTTGAATCACGGTGATGAGAGATAAATGTTGATAAATATATCAAGGGATTTAAACAAGAGAACGCAACACGACCTAAACACTTTTGAAACTGTGCGGAGGGGTTTCGCTTTGGGCCCGCTGTGCGTCGCTCTGTCATCCGGGGGCGTTGCCGAGCCACTCACTGTGCCGCACAGCCGCCTCGCTCTCCGCAGTGGAAAGTACAGTAGCTGCCCGTTCGTAGCGACGTTATAGATCGGATACCGCGCGACGTTAAGTGCAGAGATGGGTCGTAGTTCATCACTGACTTTGTAGAAAAACAACGTTCAACGGGCCGACGTTAAAAAAGGAGTGACGGCTTAGTCTGGTTACATTTTTATCAACGCAGTGGAAGTCCGTGTCCACAAGAGGGCAGGCATCACGTCACCGCGCCCTGTATCGCAGACATACATTAAAGCGGGAGCGTCTCGTCATCTTTTTTTACCCCCAAAAATCACCAACATCCTTGAAAATTGTCTATCGATAAAATAATTTTAAGTCGAATGCGGAACCCTAACAATAACTCGGTGCTGTATTACCACGTAAACATGCAGTCCTCGACTTATATGATAGATTTTTGACATTTATTTAATTTAACTCGCACTTGGAAACTCAACCGCGTAACTATTTTGTTCAGTGGAGCAATCATCCGTGAGATGTAATCAGTCAGCCTTGCGCTGAGAGTGAGTATTTGTGTGTGCAGCCGCGTGCGTGTGAAAGTAGTGAAGCCAGAGACCCACAGACTCGCAGTTCCCCAGACACACACAAACACAGAGACTCACAGTCTTATAGACTCACACGCAGAAGCACGAGTAACCACAGACAAGTGGGAAGGCAAATTCCGGGCCTTGAGTCGGGGCAAACAATTGCCTAATATCCGTGGTCCTCCAAGTTTCCAGCCAATGATTAAGTGTTCATACATGTGTAGGGGTGTCAGGGGAAGGATTCCCACCAATAGGAGGGTTAGTGGGAGGGGTGATCGAGGAGATATAAGGGGAGAACGGGCGGGAAGAGGGGGCCATTGGCGGGAACGAGATTGGGACGGCGGGGGACAGGTGTGGATGGTAGAAAAGGATTAAAAGACGAAACCCCTGCAATCTTGTGTCGGCTCTCCTTTACATCTGGTGGCAGCGGTGGGATGAACAATGACTACGAAGAAGAATCCCCGCGGAAAAGAGCCAAGAGAAGAGGAAGCAGGGGCCGGGGATCCTTCCTATCCCGGGCAACAAGGGGGCCTGCTACCAGAAGCAGCAGCAGGGAGCCTGGATCGCCTGGAGGACCCCATGGAGGACCGCATGGCCCGCGTGGAGAGGGCACTCCAGGAGTTACTGCAGAGGCTCCCTATGGGGGGCCCGCCAGCACCAGGACCCCCACGCGTACTACGGGAGGAGAGGCCACGGGACCCGGAGGCCGACCAGCCGGCCGGGCAGGAGCCGCAACCAACCTCGTCACACCTGCAGGTGGCAGGACGGCCGCGTCGGCTGGGGCCCGTCGACAAGTTCGTGGCCGAGGAAGAAGATTGGGAGGGGTTTGTCCGCCGATTCGAGGCTCCCTTCCACGCTCTCGAGTGGACAGATGAAGAGGCACTACGAGCTTTGCCATCCGTTCTGGGCGAAGAGGCATTCTCCTCTTACATCTCCCTTCCCCTTTAGCCTACAGGGGTGCGCTGCTCGTGTTGGCGAGGAGGGCTTTCCCTCGCCTGGCTGAAGAAGCGCTCGAGGACCTCGTGGTCGAGCACCTCATCGCCTACGCTTGCCGCGCCGGCGTTATAATGCCCGTGGTGACGCTGGAGGAACGCACCTCGCTGTGGGCTGCCCGGACCATCCAAGCCCACGAGTAGGTCATGGGCTGGGTGCCACCCGTGGGCCGGGTGGCTGGCGCGGCGGGGGGGAACAGCCGAGCCGTTGCCGCGGCACTACTGGGTCCAGCGACACCAACCGCCGAACCTGCACCGTCGCCACAGGCTGCCTGTGGGGCAGCTGGGAACGGACCCCTGACGTCTGAGCTGGAGCCATCGCTGTGGGAGGTGTACGCGGCGATCCGGGGACTTGCGGAGCAGAGGGACCAGGGGCGCGACCAGCCGCCGCGTCGCTGGCAGCCGCCTCTACAACATCGCGCCGAGCCACCCCGACGGAACGCCCCGTGGGTTTGCCACCGTTGTGGTCGAGAGGGGCATGTGGCGAGGGGGTGCCGCATGGAGCCGGAGGCCGCCAACGCCACCTGGAACCCGCCGGGGCCGAACGCCGACAGGATCCAGGCGAGTGACGCCGTCCCGCCCGGCCTCTCGGTCGGGCCGAGCAATTACAACCTCGACGCCGCGAACTCACCAGGAGTCTCCTCGGGGTGGGCGCCATCGGTGTCGTTCCCCGGTCCCCACTGTCCTGGTCGGGGGAAGGGGATCGCGCCGAGGATAGCGCCGGGGCCGGTGATCGCGTCGCGACCAGAAGTGGCGTCGCAACCAGAAGTGGCGTCGCGAACGGACGTGACGTTGCATCCGGAAGTGACGTCGCGGCCGAAAGTGGTGTCGCGGATCGCGCCGAGAATTGCGCCGGGGCTGAGGACCGCGCCGGGAATCGCGCCGAGGCCGAGAGGGACGTCGCGACCGGACGTGTCGGCGCGACCGGACGTGGCGTCGCGGGCGTGAGGTCACGGGCGGAAGTAAGGTCGCGGGCGGGAGTGACGTCGCGGGCGGGAGTGACGTCGCGGGCGGGAGTGACGTCGCGGGCGGGAGTGACGTCGCGGGCGGGAGTGACGTCGCGGGCGGGAGTGACGTCGCGGGCGGGAGTGACGTCGCGGGCGGGAGTGACGTCGCGGGCGGGAGTGACGTCGCGGGCGGGAGTGACGTCGCGGGCGGGAGTGACGTCGCGGGCGGGAGTGACGTCGCGGGCTGGAGTGACGTCGCGGCCGGGTGTGGCGTCGGGGGCGGGCATGGTTCCGCGGGCGAACGTGACGTCACAACCGGAAGTGTCGTCACCAGTTACCTGCGACGCCGGCGAGTTGCCAGGAA